TGAACTGCCAACCTTTCATTTAGCAGCCGAGCACTTAACCGTTGCACCATATGTGTGTGTGTATATATATATATATATATATGTATATGGAGTCCTTGGAGTGGTGCACATGGCTAATGTGCTCATTGCTAACCAAGAGGTTGGAAGTTCAAGTCCACCCAGAGGTGCCTCAGAAGGCCTGGTGATCTACTTCCAAAAAATCAGCCATTAAAAACCCTATAGAGCACAGTTCTGTTCTGAAACAGACGGTGTTGCCGTGAGTCAGAATTAACACGATGGCAAACACATATATTTTCCCCCCTATACCTCCATGTGTCAGTTATTCTCCATTTGCTCCCACTCCTATCCTTACCCTGGATTCATTCCCCACCTTTGTGCCCCAAGATGCTGACCTATGAACTGGACTATGGGACAAAATTATACTCGTGAAGAGTGTGCTTCTTAACTCAAGTAGATACATGAGACTAAATAGGCAGCTTCTGTCCAGAGGTGAGATGAGAAGGCAGAGAGGGTTAGGAGCTGGTTAAATGCACATGGGAAATCCAGGGTGGAAAGGAAGAGTGTGCTGTCACAGTACAGGGAGAGCAACTAGGGTCACATAGCAATGTATGCATAGATTTTTGTATGAGAGACTAACTTGAATTGTAAACTTTCACTGAAAGCACAATAATAATAAAAAAAAGATGCTGACCTATGAGAACCTCAGCACCTGAGTTTCTTTCCCTCTGACCCGTTACCAGAGTCAATTCCAACTCATAGTGACCCTACAAGACAGAGCAGAATTGCCCCATAGGGTTTCCAAGGATTGGCTAGTAGATTTGAACTGCCGACCTTTCGGTTAGCAGCTATAGCTCTTAACAACTGTGCTACCAGGGCTCCAAAACCCATTGCTGTCGAGTTGATTCCAACTCATAGTGACCCTACAGGACAGAGTAGAACGGCCCCATAGCGTTTCCAAGTAGTGGCTGGTGGATTCGAACTGCATGCCTTCTAGTTATCAGCTATAGCTCTTAACCACTGGGCCACCAAGGCTCCAACTCTGTAAATAGTCCTCTCATTAGTTTCTCTTCCAAAATCCCACGAGGTGCCTTCTGTTTCCTTCCAGGACCCTGATTGACACACCTCCATGTACTGTCCAGCACGCTGCTTCCATTAAATGCAATGCTGTCCTGTCAAGTTTTCATGAAGGGGATTCTAACTGCATGATGTATTTTCGTGGGATCTTCTCAGCCTTCAAATAAAACACCACAAAGCCAGATGATATAATTCAATATTTTATATAAGAAAAGATCAGTTTTCCAACATTTACTCCACTTAACAAGTGCACAGCATTTGCATGAACTACCTCAGGGCTACATCAGTACAAAATCATTTAAATTAGTAAAACAAAGCCGTTTTCAGAAAGAAAAATCATTGATGACTTCAGGGTAAGCGCCACCACCGCTTGGGAACAGGGGCCATAAGACAGCAATGTGGGAACAGGCCGGCAGAGGTTGTCCTTGTTCTCCTATGGCAGAAAGAGGCCCCAGCCTTATCCAGGTCACAAATGAATGGCAGAAAAATGTCAACTTGTTGGTCCTCAGGGGCTCACCTGCTGGGCTACGTGTCTTGTCTCTGCCACAGTGAAATCCCGTTGACTACTAGGGCAGCCCAGGCACCAGCCTCCTGTATCTATGTAATCAAGCCCATTCCGGACTGGAGGAGAGTGCTCTACGGGACACAGCAATGTGACTAAGAAACAGTCAAGCAGACAATCTACGTGGCAGATGCAGAATCAAATTCTCTATGGTGGTCCAAGACCCGTTTGGTTCAGTCCCCTGGTTTTTCTGTCCAGGAGACTCTTCTTAACCTCAAAGTCACATTGCCAATTGGAGATAACGAAGGGGTGTGATTAACTAGACAAGCAAACCTGCCAGTGGGGGAAGATGGGTATCACCAGAGCCTTTATGGCTGCTGATAAAGGCCACAGCTGTTTTCTGGGAATCCTGCCCGATGTGCCTTTTGTCATCCCTGCCCATCTGGAGAACACGTTTAAAACACTAGCAAGTTAAAACAAACAAACAAAAAAAAAACCCTCTTTACATAAACACTGTTGACATTTTTTTTCTGTCCCATCCAAGATGGTTATAACTTCTGTATGACACTATTTTCTTTTAATAACAAAATGACCCAGAAGGCTCACAAAGCAATGTGAGGTTGGCAGTGCAGCCCTTTCCATGCTTGACACATCCCATGCGAAGGCATTTCACACCGATTAGGTTTAGTATTACTGACAGTTGGCCTAAAATTCTCACCATGTGTATCGACCCAGCCCTGATGTATGCACCAGGTACAATGTGACCCATCTACTGCTTGCTAATGATGCGCCTTCTGAGAGACCTCGCACCTCACTGGGCATTCTGCCACGACAGGTGGCTTGGTGTCACGCTCTCCCTGGTACCAACTGGCCCATGCCAAGTTTAGAGTTCATCGTGTTTGGCCTCCTGGTCTTTGAGTTTGAATTCCTCCGCCGTGACCTTTCCATCTCCGTTCCGGTCCTGGTTGGTGAACATATTCTTCACGATCATCTCAGCATCAAAACCGGGTGCGAGCTTTCCTTTACCAGATGCCACCTGGGCATGAATGTACTCAGAGAACTGGAGAGAAAGGGAAAAGGACAGACATGAGACACAGCAGCCTGAGAAGGCTGGGCACAGGGCCCGAGACAGAGCAGCCCGAGGTCGACGGGGCTGGAGTTTGAATCGTAACTAACAAAACAGGGATCACACACCACACTCATTGCCGCTGAGCTGACTCCGATTCATGGCGACCCCATGTGTGTCAGAGTAGAACTGCTCTACAGGGTTTTCAGTGCCTGATTTTTCGGAAGTAGATTGCCAAGCCTTTCTTCCAAGGCACCTCTGGGTGGATCCTAACCTTCAACTTTTACTTGAACAGCCAAGCACATTAACTGTTTGCACCACCCAGGGACTTTTTCTCCACATGCAGGTTAAGAACTCCAAGAGCTCTTGGGATGCAGATAGCTAATTCACAGCAGCTACCTGAGCTTTTCCTTCTCCTGAAACCACTGTTTAGTTTCCTACCAAAGGCTGACTGCCTAGCCACTCTGGCCTCTGAAAACATTGCTAGATTCATCCATTCATGCATTCACTCATTTATGAATACAATAAAAACCTACTGCATGCCTACTATGTGCCAGGCACTATCCTAGATTCTTGGGATAGATACATCGATAAACAAACAGAACAGTTATCCTGCCCTTGTAACACTGACCTTCTAGTGGGAAAGACAGACAACTGAAAATGAACATAATAAATAAGTAAATTATATGGTAACTTAGAAAGTAAAATGCTGCAGAAAAATGATAAAGTAGAGCCTAGTAAGGAAGATCAAGAGCACAGGTGGGGAGCGGGCTGAAGCATTAAACTGGGTGGTCAGGGTAAACCTTAATGAAAAAGGGAGACTTGTGCAAAGGCTTGAGGAAGTGAGGGAATGAGCCACGCAGTTATCTGGGAGAACCATTTGCTGAGCAGAGTACAGCTGGCTGAAAGGCCCAAGGTGGACAAATGCCTGGTGAGTCCACAGAACAGCAAAGGGAAAGGATGAGGCTGGGCAGAGTGAGCAAGGGGGAGAGAGAAGGCAGAGAGAAGACTACAGCAAGCAGGTGGTGGAGGGTTTGACAGGCCACTATAAGGGCTTCAGAAATGGGGAGCCTCTGCAGGGCTTGAGCAGAAGAGGGGCATGGTCAAACCGAATGCTGTGTGGGGCAGGGATGAAAGCAGAAAGATCTGTAAAGAGGCTACTGCAGTCACCCAGGTGAGAGAGAACAGGCATGGGACTATGATGGAGCAGAGTGGAGATGGACAGAAGTGGTCAGATTCTGGATATATTTTCAAGGGAGAGCCAGAATCATGTCCTGATGGATTTGAAACAGTTTGGTCTCAGTTACTAAACCTAAAGGTTGGCAGTTCAAACTCACCCAGCAGCAATGTAGAAGAAAAGACCTGGTGATCTGCTTCTGTAAAGATTACAGCCAAGAAAACCTGACAGAGAAGCTCTCCTCTGCAACACGTGGGGATGCCATGAGTTGGAGTGGACTCAAGGCCAAGAGGTTTGGTTTTTTTGGTTTATGAAAGAAAGAGAGGCGTCAGAGAGTACTGAGTGCTCTGGCCTGAACAACTGGAAGGCTGGAATTGCCATCAACCTCAATGGAGAAGGCTTTGGGCGAAGCAGGTTTGGGGGAGTATCAGGGGTTCAATAAATGACGATGTCAAATAGGCAGCTGGATATATGAGTGTGAACTGGAAGGAGAAGACTGGACTGGAGCTACAAATTTGGGAGTTATCAGTAAATAGATGGTAAAGTTATGGGACAAGATGAGACCACCAAGCGAATGAGGTAAAGATGGAGAAGAGAGGAAGTTCAGACTTAGTCTGGGGCACTCAACACGAAGAGGTCAGAGAGAAGAGGCCTGAGAAGGAGCCAACAGAAAGTGTGGTATCTTGGAAGTCAGAGACAAAAAGTGTACTGCAAGGGAGTCAGCTGTGTTGAGGTAAGAGGAGAACTGAGAATAGCCTTTGGATTTAGCAATATGGAGGGCACTGGCCACCGGGGCAAGACCAGCTTCAGTGGCATAGTGGCACAAATGCCTGACAGGAGTAGGTTTACAAGAGAATGGGGAAAAAAGAGAGAGAATGAGGTATGATGCTGTAATGGTACATACATGACATTATACATGTCAAAATCCATAGAACTGTACAACACAAAAAGTGAACCCTCATGTAAACTATGGACTCAAGTTAACAATGATGTATTAATGTTGGTTCATCATTTGTAGCAAGTGTTCCATACTATGGCAAGATGTTAGTAATAGGAGAAACTGTGGGTGGAAGGGGCAAAAAAACAATCCAAAAGAAACCCAAATCAAACCTGTTCGTGACCCCATGTGTTACAGAGTAGAACTGCTCCATAGGGTTTTCTTGGCTGTAATCTTTATAGAAGCAGATCACCCGCAGCGACGCTGTGTGGGTATGAACTGCCAATCTTGGGATTAGCAGTTGCGTGTAAACCATTTCTACCACCCAGCTTCCTGGGTGGGTGAGGAGAAGGGATATATGGGAATGTTGTAATTTCTGATCAATTTTTCTGTAAACTTAAAACTACTCCAAAAAGTAGAGTCTATTAATTTAAAAGAGACGTAGACAGGCAGACACTGGGAGGAGAGTAATTGGAGGCAAAGGGGACAGACAATTCTTTGGAGGTTTTGCTATAAAGGGAGCAAAGAAATGAAAGAACTGGAAAGAGGCACCAAGAGAAGGGAAAATAATAGCATGTTTGTATGCTAACATGAATGATCCAGTACATGGGGGAATTGATAATGCAGGGGAGAAAGGAAAGAAGGCTGGAGTCATGTCCTTGAATGAACATATGCAGAACAGGCAGAGACTGGAATTCACCAGGGCTGTGTCCTGACAAAACACCACTGCCCGATGCCATGAAAGGGCATGTTGGACAGGAGAAACAACCCAGATCTAGATGATCGAGACAGGCGTGTGTATCCTGGTTCAAACCACTGGGTAGCTGTGTGACCTCGGGAAAGTCATTTACATTCTCTGTGCAGTTTCTTTAAATAGGAGTGACTTTATGGTTGCGAAGGCTAAACAAGACACTACATGGGAGAACATTCAGCACAATGCAGGCACCCAGTGGGCACCAGTAACTGGGGACTAAGTCCAGATGGATGTGGCCTAGAACTACACCCCTTGGAAGCTCAGTTTCTCCAAAGAGGAATTGTAAGCTTGAATTTGGAGAGTATATGTAAAAAGTACTTGGTACATGAGTGTGCTGGTTGTCATCGTCACACTACAGCACAGCTGTCCTCCTCACTCTGAGAAGGCCTCACATTCAGAATGGGCCCTGAGGCCCAACCGGGGGTAGCTCCCTGGGTTCTTTCAGTCCCACGTCCCTTCAAAGGCCAATTACCTCTTTAAGGAGGACCTCTCCGTCGCCATCCTTGTCGATTTCTTCAAAGAGGTTGGGCGACACCTCGTCATTCCATATGAACATGTACCCCTCAGGCAGGCCCACCACCAGCTCCAGCAGCTCAATGTCAAACACCAGCACAGCACTGCCAGGCACTTCTCCATCTGCCACACCACAGGCGAGGGTGAGGAAGGCAGCATTAGTGCCCACAGCACGGTGGTCAGACCCATCTCAACCACCCACTCCCGGACGCAGAGTTCAGCTGCCTCATGAACGGCCGCTGTTTTCTTAGGAAAGCAAGAAACTTTAGCGTAGGCAAGTAGTTTTTCCAAACCATTGGTTAAAAAAAAACAAAAACAAAAAACCATAGCGACCCTACAGGACAAGAGCAGAACTGCCCCGTAGGGTTTCCAAGGAGCGGCTGGCGGATTTGAACAGCCGACCTTTTGGTTAGCAGCCTTAGCTCTTAAACACTGTACCACCAGGGTCCAAACTGGTGGTAGTGACCCATTAACAAGTCGTGAAATCAGTTTGGGGGTGGTTAAGGAACAGAATAGAATAGATTGGGGTGCACAGCACATTGAAAGGACAGGCATCATTTCATGAAACTTTTGTTTCATTTTTATATATAAAACTAAATTTGTATGTATGTACGGTGTATATTTATGTGTAATACAGACTGGGGAGATAAAGTGTACTCTCTGCCATGTGTCTTGATGAAAAAAGTTTGAAAGCCGCTAGTATAGACTACAATGGTTGCACTTCTTAAAAAAAAAAAAACAGCAGAACTTTAAGAATAATACAGTATACCTCAAAATGATGATCTAAGATATGACTGTTTAAATACTAATTAGAGAACCATATATATAGTAAGGAGCCCTAATGGCACAGTGGTTAAGAGTGGTTAAGTGGCTGCTAACCAAAAGGTCGGCAGTTTGAATCCACCAGCTGCTCCTTGGAAACCCTATGGAGCAGTTCTACTCTGTTCTGTAGGGTCACTATGAGTCAGAATTGACTTGCCAGCAACAAGTTTTTAGTTTTATATATAGTAAGGTCCAAAAGAAGTTGTATAAGTATGTGAGTATATAAATGTAGTATATATTACTTAAAATTATTACTAAAGTTTATTTATATCTAATATAGAATACATTATATAATTATTTGTAATACAAATCATGGAGAAAGTCTTAAAGGATACACAACACAGTTTTTAAAGAGTTTCTTCTGGGATTGGTAGGGGGAGCAGATACTACATTTTACAATTATTTTAAAAGTTTTAAGAGAAAGCCCAAAGTGCTAATTGCTTTTACAAGCTAGCTCTTACTTTCCACCTTCTCCATTTCCAGACAGCAACAGTATAAAAATGCTGAAAAGAAAGGATTCCAGAATCCCTTGGGTGAAGGGTTCATTCCGGCCAAAATTATACAGTAAAATGTAACAGCTGTGAGGACAAGGTAAAACTAGTATTTCCAGAGCTAAAAACTAATCTTTTCCAAAAGGAAATCTTCTTGGAGAGCTTACAGGCACAAGAGAAAGGAAACAGCAAAGGCCTGCAGCATTCTGCTTTCCCAAGAAGCAGTTCCGGAAGGAAGTGCTTCGCCTCACCCAGAGAAATCACGTAGAAAGCTCCTTTAGGGATGTTTCCCAGACAGGGGTTTAGAGATCCCAGATTTATTTTACTGAAACCCCTTCTTTCTCAAGAGGGCAAAGAGGCATTAACATAGCTACCCTGAATTCACTGGAGTCTTTAAAAAAAAAAAAAATGCTACATACTTAAAAAAATTAAAACTAAAAGCTGTTGGTTTTAAATGAAAAAAATCATACCGTAGTTCTAAATACAGTACCCCCAAAAGCATAAAAGTTCAGATGCTGAATGTGCTCAAACACCTTTTGATCCTGTCACTCACCTACACCAGCCTCCCCATAGCCCAGGTGGGGCGGAATGATCACCGTTCGTTTCTCTCCAACGCACATCTCTCTGAGACCCATATCCATTCCCAACACGACTTGTCCAGACCCCAAAACAATATTATACGTTTTGCCTAAATTCCACCTGAAAATGAAACAGAAGAGTGCCTGATTAGGTCATCAACCCGTTGGTACTTGAAAGTGTTCTCATGAGAAGACCACAACATCCCTTCTGTGACACTTCTGCCAAAGGTACATAACCTCTAATGTAATAATGAGGAACTTCTGCACAACAAGCAGCCTATAATGTTCAGAGGTGTCAAGATCATGAAAGTCAAGAAAAGGCTGAGGAGCTGGTCCAGAGTGGAGGAGCACATTGGAATGGGATCCTTTTGCTGTAAAGGACCTTATGGACATAGCTGGCAAAACTTAAGTGGGATTTGAGGACTAGACAGTAGTAATGTAACTTCCTGATTTCAATGGCTGTATTGAGTTATGTTTTCAATCACCTCATATGCATGCCAAAGCCGGGCAATGAATAAAGAAGACCGAAGAAGAATTGATGTCTTTAAATTATGGTATTGGTGAAGAATATTGAATATACCATGGACTGCCAGAAGAACGAACAAATCTGTCCTGGAAGAAGTACAGCCAGAATAATGCTCCTTAGAAGCAAAGATGGCGAGGCTTTGTCTCACATATTTTGAACATGTTATCAGGAGAGACCAGTCCCTGGAGAAGGACACTATGCTTGGTAAACCAGAGGGTCAGCAAAAAAGAGGAAGACCCTCAATGAGATGGACTGATACAGTGGCTGCAACAATGGGCTCAAGCATAACAACTATTGTGAGGATGGCACAGGACGGGGCAGTGTTTCATTCTGTTGTACATGTGGTTGCTATGAGTCGGAACTGACTCGATGGCATATAACAACAACATTGACTTATGTTAAGGTTTTTATAGGCTAATTTTCAAAAGTAAGCTCCTCAGTCCTTTCTTCCTAGTCTGTCTTAGTCTCGAAGCTCCACTGAAACCTGTCCACCATGGGTGACGCTGCTGGTATTTGAAATACCAGTGGCATAGCTTCCAGCATGATAGCAACATGCAAGCCACCACAGTATGACAAATTGACAGACAAAACATTGTAATAAAATGTTTTTGTGTGAAATGCATACTAAAGTATTCGAGGTGGGGTGGGGCATCATGATTCATGGCGGAAAAAGTTCTTTGTACTAGTCTTCTAAATTTTCTCTAAGTCTGAGTTTCTTTCATAGATTGTTTTGGTCAATGTTCTGCTCAGGGGTTTTCATGAGAATTTTTTTAATACAGAGGTTTTGGATTCAACAAGATCTGAGTTTGAATCTTGGTTCAGCCACCTACTTTGACACTGGGAAATGCAATCTCTCAGGCCCAGTTTCCTCATTTATAAAATGGAGATAACAAGACCTATCTTACCACAAAGTTCTGAAGAGTAAATAATATAATAATAAACTTAGCAAGTGCAGAGTTAAGTGTTAAGGGCTCAGTGAATGGATGGCCTCAAGGATGTAAAGTCCTTGTGTTTGTAACAGTTTATGACTCCAGAGAAATAACTCAGGGTTTAATGAGGGCCATAGTTTTGACTTGGAGCCCTAGTGGTGCAGTTGTTAAAAGCTTGGCTGCTAACCAAAAGGTCAGCAGTTCAAATCCACCAACCACTCCTTCTGGAAACCCTATGGGGCACTTCTCCTTTGTCCTATAGGGTCCCTATGAGTTGGAATCGACTCGACGGCAGTGGGTTTTGTTTTTTTGCTATTGTTTTGACTACTCTCGATCTCCATGGTCCCCAGGGAACCCAGATAAATAAAAGCTGGCTCCGACACCTCAGTCACTACTAAAAGTAAATCTATTTCAAAATCTACAGCATTCCTACTACTTTCTAAAGGCAAACCGGAGGTATGCTCTTTAACCCCAAAGAAGAAAAGTCCCCTGATGTTTGGAGCCCCTTGATGTCCACCACTAGGAGGTGACGAAGTGGAAGGGAAGGTCCCTTTGGGTCACGTATCTTTCGAGCCTTCCCTGAGCCCAGGATCTCTGCCTGTTTTCCTCCTCAAGCTGGTTCCCAAGGCCAGGCTTGTTCTCTGGGACCAGCAAAGCAAAACAAGGTTTGCATTTGTCCTACCTGGGATGAAACTAAAACTGACAAAGGGCTCCCTCCTTTGTCCCTCCCCCCACACAATCCCTCCTTTGTTTGCAGCCCGGAGGCCCTCACACTGCTTTCTCCAGGAGCTGACCGTTGCAGACCTCCCATGGGACCACTCAGTTTCAGTCTTACAGAATAATAATGAATGTTTATTTTTCCTCCCTAGGCCAGTTTAAACACACAGTAAGAAAGTCCTCCAAACAATTTGTTTGCTTGTGTCATCTCTGAAAACCCCATTAATTGTTTTCCCCTCATGTCACCCTTTTTTTTTGTGCCAGCGTTTCTCTCAGACATTCTCCTCATTCCTTCTGTGCTCTTCCCAGCTTCCCATCCACTCCCCGCTTCCTGCTTCCGTTCTGCACATCTGCCCTCTCTGGCTCCCCGCCCACGTGCTTATCAATCCTCTTAGCCCTGACAAATAAGTGCTGAACAAGTGCCAGGGGCAACATCTGCTGAGGAGCTCCAGGTGGGACTGGGTCCCATCTCCAGAAGCAGCTTCTCCCCCACACACAGGTAGGCAGGCACTGCCGCACTTCCCATTATTCAGAAGAAACCAGCAGGGACGCCCAGTACGTTGCTGATTTACATGTAACACAAATGACTCTCAAGGTACAAAATGGTCCCTGAAAGAGGAAGGAGCCTGCATCACCTGACTCCCCCATGCTCTGTTAAGAATGCTGTGCATCTGGCATGACTAATGTAACTGATGGCACTCAATCGCACATCTGAAAGATGCGGAACTGGCAAATTCTGTGGTATATATATATATATATTTTACAACAATTTGAAAAAAAAAAAAAGCAAGCTGTGACTCCACCACACGCACATCTGAAGGAAGGCTGGAAGACAGAGTCTCCCCCAGCCCACATGGAAAGCATTTCCTGAGCCCACTGGGAAGGAATTCCTTTGCTCATTTTCAACCCCCACTTCCCCTTTTCACAGCCTTAAGAGCACAGGACAATAACATGAACATTAACAATGGCAATGACAGCAAGCCACTGACCTCACAGACTATTCTAATCTGTTGGACCATTTTTGCAAGCACAGGCTCACTTGACCCTCAGAACAACTACAAGCTGTGCTTCTTCCCTGCTGCCCTTCACGTGCTTCTATTCAGTAACTGGTGGTTGAGATTTCTTTGGAAGGAGATTTGTTGTAAGCCAACCAAAAAACCAAACCTGTTGCCATCGAGTAGATTCCAACTCATAGTGACGCTATAGGACAGAAAAGAACTGCCCCATAGGGTTTCCAAGGCTGTATAACTTTATGGAAACGGACTGCCACATCTTTCTCCAATGGAGCAGCTAGTGGGTTTGAACCATCGACCTCTCGGTTAGCAGCTGAGTGCTTAATCACTACACCACCAAGGCTCCTTTGTTGTAAGCCAGGGCCCCGTAAACCTGGGTACTAGAAGCTATGTATGTACTTCGTTGATTCTAAAATGCGTATCTTTTCACATTTTAACATCTCTGTAATTGGGATACATTTTACAAATAACAGTGTCTCACTGTTTTTAGGCAGCATTTTGACTTTCTTAGAGATACACAAAATAATGATGTTTCCAATAATCAAGCCATTTTAGATTTGATGGACTACATTAAATGCATTAAAATATAGGACCTCGTAGCACCAGAGGGCTTGCTCTGAAGGGTATGGTGATAGTATGTCCCCAGGGCTCTCTCCATGCCTGGCGTTCCCCAGCCACACATCTCACCCAAAGCTAGACGGCAGGGGGGTAGGTGGGAGGGAGAGAGGGTCCCTTCCCTTCTAGAATAAATGCAGCAGCACATACATACTTACATGAAGTCTTTCTCCCCAAAACCAAACTTAGGAATCTAAATCGGGCTCAGTATAAAAATGAATATACTTGTATTCCAAAACCCAAACCTGTTGGCCTCGAGTCAATTCCAATTCGTAGTGACCCTGGAGTAGAACTGCCCTCTAGTGTTTCCAAGACTGTAATCTTTACAGAAGCAGACTGCCACATCCTTCTCCTGCAGAGCAGCTGGTGATTTCAAACCGCTAACCTTTCAGTTAGCAGCCAAGGACTTTAACCCCTGCACCACCAGGGCTCCCTATATTACGGCAATATAAAGAAAGGCTGAGAATGTTTCTTCACCAGTGAAAAGAATATTGTATTAATTTGTAGATACATCTGAAGATTCAGATACCTAAGAAGCAAAGCTTCCTTTATATGCACGATACTAGTTTATACTCTTGATTCCGGTTTAATATATTTTCAGAATGCACCTCAATTGATCAACATTTATAAAATGCCCCCTTTGTGCTACGGTATGTGCTAAGCGTAGGGAGTAAAAACATTAATAAACACATTGGGTGACCCCAAAGTATTCAGGCCAGTGACAGAGACAGAAACAAAAATAAATAACTAAAATACGGATAATACAAAAAGTGCTATGGACCTGTACACCAATTTTCATTGCAGCATTATTCAAAATAGCCAAAAGGTGCAAACCACCTAAACGTCCATCAACAGAGGAATGGATACACAAAATGTGATACATGTGTACAATAAAATATTATTCCACTATAAAAAAGGGATGAGGTTTTAATAAATGCTACAACATGAATGAACCCTGAAAACATTATGCTAGGACAAAATGATACATATTGTATGATCCCACTTATATGAAACATCTGGAATAGACAAATGCAAAGAGACAGACAATAGATGAGTGGTTACCAGGGGCTGGGGTTAGGGGGTAGAGGATGGGAAGCTAATGTGTAATGGGAACAGAGTTTCCGTTGAGGGTGATGAAAAGTTTTGGAAACAAACAGTGGTGATGGTTGCACAACATTGTGTGATTAATGCCACCGGATTGTGCACATGAGGATGTGGATGGTTAAGACGGCAAATTTTATGTTGTACAGGTAGTCCCCGTTTTAAGTCAGTTCTGCTGGAAGTCAAATACCTCATTTTCTTTTTTGTTTTTGTTTTCATTATATTGCCTTTTATTATCTCTATCTTCATAAATCCAATCTTTGTCTTCGGGGGTTGCATCAGCAAATTATGCGCTGCAGCATTGTATGTAGTACATATTACTAACGATAAGATGTAAAAAAAAAAAAGCACAGTCGTAAGTGCAGTACGTAGTAACCCTTATGGGTCGTAAGTCAGGGACTAACTGTATGTATTTTACCACCAGAAATAAAAAAAAGTGTTAGGAGACTACAGAAGTGGGAACAGTTGATTGTAAGGAAACCTTCTGAGAAGAGAAAGGACATTTAAGCCAGGAAAAAAGTTAGCTAGATGGGCGGCAGACTAGAGAGACAGGGTGCAAGCAGCAGTGTATGGCCTGCACCACTGTACGTGGTGGCCCTGGGAGGCTGAAGACGGGCCCCAGCGGGAAATGAGACTGGCGAGGCAGAACAGAGCCAGGCAAGGAGAGCCTTAGGTGCCATACTACAGACTCTGGACTTTATCTGTGGGTTCTTCTTTAAAAATTGTTTTTGTTGTGGTAATATATATACAACACATTTGCCATTTCAACCATTTTTCTATGTACAATTCAGTGACATTAATTACATTCACCATGTTGTGGAATCACCATCATTATCTGTCACCAAAATTTTTTCCCACTCTCAATGGAAACTCGGTATCCCTTGTGGGTTCATTTTTAAAAACGAAAGTTATATGAAGAGATCTGTTTTTCAGAAACACAATTTTCACAGGATAGGAAGTGGCCTGGAGCAGAAGGGAAACCATTAATAGGATACTCTTAGGACAATGAGCCTGAGCAGTGATGAAGGATTAAGGCACAAAGTGGGGAAGGCATGGAGACGAGAAAAGCTCTTAACTAGTATTTGATGAAAGGAAAAGGAGACTCGTGGGAACACCCAACGTTTACCCGCCAAGCTCGCTCCCACACCGTTCCCGGGTGGCCCTTACGTGGAGTCCAGCAGAGTCCCGTCCAGAAGTGAGGCATTGTAGTGATACTTGAGGTAATCCCCCTTCTTACTCAGCACAGAGCAGTCAGGGGGCTTGTAGTGGGAGGTGATGCTAATAGAGTCTGAGGGGTTGTGGAAGTCGATCACGTGGATGTCAAACACCAGCACGGCTGAGCCAGGGATGTTCCCTAAAGGACAGATGCGGTGAATTAATGAATGAAGCCTCAAGCAGCAGCATATGTGCCTCCCAACATCTGTCCTTGGGGCCTCCAGAAAGCAACACAGGGACCCGGATACAAAATCCTGGGCAATGCTAGGGGAATGGAGCTAGAAGAGCCTTTAAAAGTACCTAGTCCTCATTTACAGATGAGGAAACTGAGGCATGAATTTGCCCAGAGTCGTGAAGCCAGTTCAAGACTATGGGCTATTACCTCACGGAATCATTAAAATTATCATTAAAATATAATAATCATTAAAAATTCATGGCTAAATCCATCACAGACGAGGAAACCAAAGCTCAGCCAAATTAAGGCTCACCCACCAGAAGTAAGAGGTGGGATGAGAAAATTCTCTGTAGAGTGAAATTCACTCCAGCGTCCTATCACTGCTCCGGGGGGAAAAAAACTAACTAACATAAACTTCATAAGGGAAAAAAACTAGCCAAAATTGGTACATATACAGTCCTTATTACAGTTCACAAAATGCTTTTAAAATACATCCTGTTCGTTCTACACAAAATTATTAATATTCTTTTCCATTATCTTCAAACAGTATCTTATATCTGGATAATGTTTTACAGTTTGCAAAAGTATTTTCACATACATTATCTCATTACATCCCTGCAGCAACCCTGTGAGGGAAGTATTACCATAAATCAAGATTAACAGACATTCCATGAATTTAACAACAGCTTTTCAGGGGGTCGGGAAAGACCTTAAACATATGCATTAGCTGAAAAAGACACACCCCAAACCATATTAGAGAAGTTTTTTTGGTTGCCCTGGAGTTGGCCCCCAACTCATGGTAACCCCATGTACCACAGGATGGGATCACTGTGCTCCGTAGGGTTTTCACTGGCTGTATTGAAGGAAGTAGACTGCTAGGACTTGGAAAAGGTGCCCCTGGGTGGACTCGAACCTCCAACCTTTTGGTTAGCAGCCAAGGATGTTAACAATTTGCACCACCCAGGGGCTCCATTTCAAAAAAGTTTAAGTGTAAAAATTTTTTAAATACTGTTACTTAGAATCAAGGATGTATAATATTATCATTAGCATTATAGATAAGAAAACCAACTCAGATATAACTTGGTCAGAGAAACAACATAGCTATAGACAATTGAAATAGAGATACATGAACACCAACTGCCCCACCCCGACCCCTTACCTCCACCATGTACTTTTCTGAGTCTCTTTCTTGTTTGTGCTCTCTCTCTAACACACACACATACACACCCTAACGGGTACTTATTAAGTACCAGGCACTCTTCTAAGTGCTTTTTATGTATTAATTTATTGTATTCTGTAATTCTATATCCCCAATTTACAGGTAAGAAAACTGAGGTACAAACTTTGGGGCTTGCCCAAAGTTAACGGTGTAGTAATTAGAGAAGCATGTACTTTGACAGCAGAACACAGGTGCTCAATATTCACTAGCGATGAGAGTTGCTGATGTGGATAGTAACAGGGTGCAGGATCTTTCTCATAGGAAATAGAAATTGTAGAGGGCCACCGACCAGAAGTTTGCTCAAGAAGGTTTCTCAGAATCAGGGCCAAGGGCAGCTCTACATGGGGAACTAACACACACTAAGGGATGAGTAGCTGTAGAGTGGCATCAGAAGTTTCTTAACCTTGTCACTGAACTGAAAATGTAGAAATTGTTGAATTGGTGTATATGGTCTGCTGTGTATATTCTCAACAATAACAAATAAATTATATGAAAAATAGTAGAGGCACAGATGACAAAAAAATAAAAGCAGCCGACTAGCTCACCCAGAAGGAAACTCTGCTGCTCCTGGTGGTTGTGAGTTTTCTCTGAGAGCTCTAGGACTTAGGGCTTCTGTTTAGAGTTCTTGGTTCTCTACATATGGGTATCAACAAATCACTGTGCATGGAAACTCATTCATTTCATTTGTTGATACACAGGTGGGTCAGACATCCCCGGGTCCACTTCTGGTTCCATCACCAATTAGATGTGTGGCCTTGGCCAAATGACTCAAACTCTCTGGGCCTTCTTATTTTATATAAAAAATGAGGATAATGCCTTAGACAATTGTTTTGAGGTTTGAATGGGATCACGGTGAGTTGTGCCTGACATTCAGCGCATAATGTGAGTAGTTTTCTTCTCCTTCCTAAAAGAGTGCTTAAAAGGAAGCTGGGGTGCAGGAAACCAGCAAGGAAGCGATATTTACACAACGCTGTGGGTAGAACCTATTTGCCTTCTCAGGGCTGTAAACACTTCCAAGCCCCCTAATTTCAGGACTGCCTTCATGGAACAAACCTGACGGCAGGAGAAGCAGCCAGAGCTTTACAGAAGGCCTAGCCCTTCCTCTCCACCAACAGTGCAAGGGAAAATGGCTACAGCAAAAAGATATGCTGATGGAGGCTGAGAGCACTAGGTAGAGCCCAGCAAGTCATTCCTTCCACAAACATTTACTGAACAATTACTATGTGCCTGGCCCTCTGGTAGGTGGTAAGGAAGTCACAAATCAGATAGATTCTCTGTCCTGGTGCCCTTCTTGGTTGAGTCCCTCAAGGATGAGCATTAAGTCCTATGAAACCCTGCAAAGAGACCACAGACACTAATCATGAGAGGACAGAGGCAGGCTCCACAAAAGAAGCTGAGTTTTACACATCAGGGCACCTCACCCCCACAGCAACATGTGATTCAGAATGAAGCAGCTTATGCCCAGAAAATGTATGAGCCTTTGATGCTTCCCAGAGCCTTATATAAGTCTTCACAAAGCTCTGTCTCATACTTGATTGAAAGCCAAAAGGATAAAAATAAGCAAATGTTTTCCATCAATGCATTCTTCTTAGTGGAAGGATTAGTCATCAGTTCATAATGAAATAAGGATACTCAGAAAGTATTTATCTATTTCTGTACATACTTGGCTAGAAGTACAAATTTACATGATAAAAAACAACAGAGCATCAAGACATTAAACAAGGTGTCCAAGACATGAAGCAAGACCTGTTGAATGTGTCACAGGCTGTGATCCGTTGTGGCTTAATATATCAGAAATTAAAATCAATGAGGAAAAAAAAAGTTTCTCCATGGCACACTATAGTTTCCAACCAATCAGATATTTCCTAGATCATCTGGGACAAACCCTACCGAGAAAACTACCAGGATTCATACGATACATCAGTGAAAGTAAGAAGGAGGTTAACAAACTGAATATTTCCAGCAAACAAGTCCAGCCAGAATCTCATCAGCAAGAAGAATACAAAAGCAAAATAAATACTGCATCAGCTATTCCTAATCAAGTTAATTAAAAATGATGTGAGAAAACATAATGTAAGATGGAAGCATCATTCAAAACACACTGCAGCCACTAAAAAATTCGATTGGCATGGGAAGTTGTTCACAATAAATTAGGTGGAGAGAGAAATTACAAAGTAGTACATATAGATGATCCCATTTTTGTCAGTATTTGTTTTTGTTGGTACATATTTCTTTTTACCTACAGAGACTCACACGTACCCAAAAGCATAGAAGGACGTTCATTTCATGGTTAACACTGTTAATTTTCTGGGTAGTAGGATTATGGGTGATTTTTGTTTTCTTTGTTTATCTGTATTTTCTCTTTCTAAGGTCAATATACATTATTTGTGTAATTTAAAAAACAGAGTTTGCTGTTAGGGTGACAAACATGTTCTAAAACTAGATTATGGTGATGGTTGCACAACCTAGTCAATGGACTAAAAATCATTAATGGATGACTTTTATGGTGTATAGATTTTACCTCAGTAAAGTTATCAAAAAACAAAGAAGACAGTTTTGCAGCTTACTCTTAAATAGTTCAGACAAAAAAAATGTAATTATAGCACACACACGAAAAAAAAATCCAAACCAAACCCATTGCCGAGTCGATTCTGACTCATACGGACCCTATAGGACAGAGCAGAACTGCCCCACAGAGTTTCCAAGGAGCACCTGGTGGATTCACACTGCCGACCTTTTGCTTAGCAGACGTAGCTCTTAACCACTACACCACCGGTGTTTCATTATAGTGTGAGATCAAATAAATATAGTAAGATGTTAGTAATTAGTGAATCTAAGTGGAATTCGCTGTACAATTCCTTCAATTTTGGTGCAGGTTTAAAAATTTTTTTAAATGAGAAGGAAGAAAAGGGTAGGGGAACAGGGAGAAGTAACAGTGACATTAGAAACTAAAGCTAGCTGGGCACTTAAGCTGGACCTCAGGGTTTTGGTTCCCTAGAAGCCCTTGTTCCAAGCAATGTGAAAGCAACACACAGTTATTGCCACAGTGTACACAGCGCTCACCTCTTCCTTCCTCTCCATACCCCAAGTGAGGGGGGACCACAATCCTCCGCTTCTCTCCAATGCAAACACCAAGTAAACCTTCATCCATTCCAGGAATCACGTAGCCCTGCCCAATGTATGTGTCAAAGGTACGGTTCCGGGAGTAGCTAAAAAAGAAGAAAAAAAAATAAAGAGGTTACTAACAATGGACACCATAGCAGCGGGATAAATTAGAGACCTCCAGAACCCAAAAGAGAGGACACAGAGCCATGCTCCCCTGCAATGGTGAACAATCCCCAGTGTCTGAGTAGCCATCTAAAGAAACACTCCCAGAAACAAGACACCAACCCTCTCTGATTTGGTCAGGTTTATGGATGTGATAAGGGTCATAAGAAGCAACCACACAGAAATGTAGCTAATGTAAACTTGACTCTGCATTTGGAAACCATGTCAAGTTACTGAAAAAGCATCAGAGGTAGCCCTTACCACAGACTCGGAAAGTATCACAAGGAGACTGTCCCCACTATTCAAAGAAGACCAAGTCTGTATGTGGGACATGAATATTCTGATTGCCAGAAAAACAGCCTATACACTGAGGCCAACTTAATTCTTCAGTCTCTACCACAGCCTGGATGAAATATCCCTACTGTAATCACTGCTCACCAAGCCTCCCTCTAGTGAGCGCTTGGGTGTCCCATATGCCACTGGCAGGAGGTCTGAGTATTCTACTCAATGGAGAGATCCAGGCTCTGTATAGATTGCCAATTGACTCTGATGTCTATTAGTTTGATTAAAAGCCTGATGATTCCAACATAAAATGATAAAACCTCACAAGTCAAGTCTACTACCAAACTCTGCACCACAGTGATCTGCACCCATCACCCACCCCCACCATGCGCAGATGTGGCAAAAACCCTGTCCTGAAAGAGCTAGTCTGTTTCACTGTTACCTCATCAGACACAACCAGAGGATGTGCCTCAGAGAAGACTGCCAGCCATGGAGGGCCAAAGAGATGAAAAGGCAAAGCTGCGAGGGGCTCTCCCTTTTCAACATCCCTCACAGACCACAAAGCCAAGGGGCATGAATAAATGATACTTACGAACAGATGATTCTCCTCACACAGGAAGCGGGAGATTATCTGCATAAGCCTTTAGGGGAGGCTGTGGAGAAGGACTCCTTCCTGCCTCACTGAGGAGAGCAGCCCCACAGTGAGCAGCTTCAAACCTCATCCCCTCACTTGGCCGGGAAGGGAACACAGCAGGGAAGAGAAGGAAGGATCTGGCTGTCTAGCATTCTCTAGCCAAGGGCAGGGCTCGCACCTTTCCCACGTTACCACCTGTCCGGCAGGTACTTGGTGATCGTCAGCAATGGGCAGCCCACTGCTAGGCACTCAGGGGAGACGAGGATACCGATGAGATGCGGTCCCTTATAAAAGGACTCTAAGGGGTGAGAGAGACAGCAAGGTGCCTCAGAAGAGGGAAGTGACAGAAGAGGAGGTGGAAAGAACTGCCAATTGGACTAGTCAGCAAAGGTTCCATGGGAGAGGAGGGGAACAGTGGACACCGGAGGATGTGGGCAAATGAACAGGGAAGAGCACTGGGGTTAACAATGACTCAGAAGAATAGATTGGATGAGAAGAGTTGGCTCGAAGTGTAGAGAACTTTGAACAACCATAATGAAAGGACATGAAAGAAAATTTAAATAAATGGAAAAAACACCATGTTCCCCAGTGGGAAATTTTCCAGTGGGAAAGTTTGAGGATTGTAAAGTTGTCAATGCTACCCCAAACTAATTGTTTGAAAACAATTTCGATCAAAACTCCAAGTGAGGCGTGGGGGGGATAGGACTCAATAAAGTAATTTGAAAGTTCATTTGGAAAATGAAACAATTAAGAATACAGTTTTAAAAGTACAGTGTATAGCATGCTATGACTCCCATAAAAATAAAAATAGAGGAATAAATAGATGTGTACTTCAATGTGTAAGTACAGAAGACCGATGAAATTAATAACACTAGATCCTATGGGGAAGGGAACTAACTGACTGAGGGACAGAAATAGGAGGGAAAATTTTCATTGTATACCTTTAGGTTTTTGAACCATGTCAAATTAAAAGGCTATTAAAATTAAAAGTGTGATACTGGCCCAGAAATAGTTATATCAATGGAAAAGGATAAAAATTCTAGACAAAAACCCAAAAGTGTATATAAGAATTTGGTACATAATAAAAGTCATATTTTAAATCAGTGAAAAAAAAATGCAGAGTTACTCAATAAAGCATGTTGGAAAAACCAGCTAACCATCTGGAAAAAAATAAAGTTAAATCTTTCTGTTACACTGAATACCCCAATAAGTTCCAGATGGATTAAAGGTTTTAATATGAAATCATTTATGAACATGGAAAGAGACTGTGGAAGGTAGTTAGTATCAGTTACCTCACGGTGGTGAGAATGGAAGGGGTTGATGAGAAATTATCACATTTTTCATTATACATCTTTGGATTGTTTCACATATACAATAAGAACATACTACTTTTGAAGATAAAAATTCTAATAAATAATATTTTAAAGGATAAAAAAGTAAAACTATTAAAGGGCTTGAAGGAAATACGGGGAAATATTTATATATTCTAGGGAAGGGGAGAGACCGTAGCAAGTCACCAAAGACAGAACCCATAAAGAAGAAGTCTAATGTATTTAACAACATAAATAGTTTACATTTAAACAAGTCACAAATCACAAGAACCAAAATTAAAAGAGACTGGAGAAACCCTGAGAGTATGGCCCCCGGACACCCTTTTAGCTCAGTAATGAAATCACTCCTGAGGTTCACCCTTCATCCAAAGATTAGACAGGCCCATAAAACAAAACGAGACTAAATGGGCACACCAGCTCAGGGGAAAGGACAAGAAGGCAGGAGGGGACAGGAAAGCTGGTAATAGGGAACCCAAGGTCGAGAAGGGAGAGTGTTGACATGTCATGGTGTTGTTAACCAATGTCATAAAACAATATGTGTACTAACTGTTTAATGAGAAGCTAGTTTGTTCTCTAAAGCTTCATCTAAATACAATTAAAAAAAAAAAAAAGATTTAGCTACAAAAATAACTACGGCAGCCCTACTCAGAATGTCAAAATACAGGAAACAACATACATGACCAAGGGGCAATTGATAACCTAAATAAAAGCAAATCTACACAGTGGACTATTACGCAGCTGTTAGGATGGCCTACATTCCAATGTACTAACATGGAAAGCTGTCTGAAACCTAAGAAAACCATGGTTCTATCAATGAGGAAAGAAATCTGGTGTACACTAGAAATATGGTCTTTCAATTAGAAGTCTAATGCCAGGGAATAAAGGACAGAACCAAACTCTCTTGTAACAAGTAATAACACACACATTGAAGGATTTTTTTGTTTTGTTTTTTTGTAATAGAAAAAGAATAAAAACAACTCAAATGTTCTCCAATAGAGGAATAGCTAAAGAAATTTGGTATATTCCTCCAATGGAATACTCTACAGGTATATATATATAAAAGATTTCTCTCTGTACATTGATAGGAAAAAAATCCCAAGGCGAAAAAAAAGCAAAGTGCAGAAGAGTGTATATAATATGTTACACTCTGTAGAATAAAGAAAAGAAGATAATCTAACATTTGTATTTGATCCGATTTACATTTTAAAAAAACCCACATACTGGAAAAATAAACCAGAAACCAATCATAGTGGTTAACTCCAGGGGGCGAGGGGAGGTGCGGATGTGAGGCAGATATCTTAACGCATTCTTTGTTTTGATTTTGAGCCATGTGGAGATTACTTTTTCTCAAAAAATGCAATGAAAAATTTAAAAGAAGAAATCCTAGGAGCAGGAAGAATAAATTATTCAAATAAAATAACACCATATAAAAATTCTTCTCTAATGTTTTTGGATGACTAAATAAACTGGAAGTCTACATATTACCTCAGAGACAGGTAGGCTGCTGGCACGACTTGTTTGCTCTACAGGAAGCTAAAGGAGTGGTTTCCAACCAACACATGCCACTTGAATGATTAAGACAGACTGAACACCAGCTGCCCACTCATAGTTTGCACCCCAAGCCATCTATACAAACAGCAGGCTGTGCCTGATAAACAAACGAAACTATGAATAACAACAGTGGCACGGGAGTGGGCCTCTGCAGCACCAGGAAGGGAGATGAGTTCATCCAACCAGTCTTTAAAGTTTGCAAAGCACTGTCATATATCTGCATCTCATTAACTATCTCTTTGAGAAGGGTATTCTAACAGGAGAAAAAACTGAAGCTCAGGGGAGTCAAATACTATCCCTAGTCACATAGCTAGTACACCACAGACAGGGACCAGAATTCACGTCTCCTAGCACCAAGTCTCTGCTCTTTCCACGGGGCCTCCTTGACCTCACCTCTGGCCACTCCCTGTTCTGGATCCCAGAGCTGAGTTTGTACTTGGATAGCCGAGCACAGTATAGGAGACCCAGGGTGGTGCGGGGAGAGTGCTTTCCATTCCCTCGTGGAAAGCCACTGGGAAGTCAAGGGCAGGCCTTTCCTGTTTTCCTTCAGACCCATCTCCCATACCCCTCAAAAAGGAGAACATTCTAATAGTCCGTGAAGGAATTCAGTATCAAAAAACAGTAACCTGTAGTGGATATCAAAATACTAACAACAAACCAGCACTGAGAGTATTCCGATCACGGTCCAGTCAGAGGTAGAATATTTAATAAGACATTCAGGTGAGAAAGGTTCCAGCTGTCTCCTTACCTGGAATCAAAGAAGCTGCCATCCAGAAGGGTGCCATTGTAATGATACCTGAGGAAGTCTCCACTTTGACTTCTCCGCTCACAGTTTTCAGGCACTACCTTATTCTCAATGGAAATGCCATCCTTGGGGTTATGGAGATCCAATAATGCAACATCAAAGACCAGTGATGCCTGTCCAGGTATGTCTTTCCCTACAGTGGAATGGAGGAACGTGCTGAAATCAGGACAGAAGACTTAAGAAGTGGTTTTAACAACAACTCAACATTCTCTGTATTGATGTTACTCATTCCTTGATGTTTTCCAGCCAAGGAAACAAACGTTCCTCCAAATCTTGAGTGGTCTCACATGGTGTCTAACCATGCTGTCTAACCATGGTGTCCAACCATGGACTGGAGGGTATAATGTGAAGCCTGACTTCCTCAGGAAAAAGAGAAAACCAACATTAATAATATGAGCGACTACCGTGCCTCTATTTTCCACGCTCATGTTAGCTCCATGTGAGTGGTTATACACCCACATGCAAACCCAAACACACAACTCTGTGGGTTTCTGTTTGTGTACACAAGCAAATCACAAACATTTAAAGATACAAATTCCAAAGCTCTGATTTGGTTCTGGAGAACACCACACCAACTTGCACTTCAGAAGTAACAGCCAATTTTTATAAGAGGCAAAAGGCAAAATTCAATCCTTTCAGTGCATCCCAAACAAAATATACGTAAATAAAACTAAAATTAAACAGTGATAACAGAGGGAAAAAATGGCACCCACAACCCAGAATATAAATAAGCCTCAAATAATTTCTATCTCACTTCTGGATGGTTCTGCTTCTCTTAGATGTTCCTCACAGTGAAGATTTACTGAGTATCTGCAAAATGACTAATCCACATAGAGACATCAATGGGCATTAGCACTCCTTGCAAAGATTAGTATCAGTCGATGAATAACTCTAAATCTAGTAATTCCCCTGTGGGGAATGATGAAATCCGCTAAAAGTAGCCTCTAGAACATGGTCAGTCCCTAAGTGCATGTGGACTGAGTTTGTGTGTGTGTATATGTGTTTGTGTGTGATGGAATATTAATCCTGTGTACCTTTCTACATAGTTCAATTTGAGAGAAAAAAGAAAAACCTAAAAGTAACCCCAGAGTTTTAATTTTTCTAGCATTAACAAGAACTGAACATGTTTTTTATTAATAGCTTGACTGAGATGTTAATTCACATAGAATACCATTCACCCATTTAAAGTGTATTCTGTTTTTAATTTTCTTAAAACAATTTTTAAAGGCTTTATTATGTAAGTCATAAGCATGTGGGTGACGTCAAAGGACTTGAACCAAGGTGAATAAACTTCCACTGGCCAAGGATGGGAGCCCTGGTGGCACACTGGTTAAGAGCTTGGCTGCTAACTCAAAAGGTCGGCAGTTCAAATCCACAGTTGCTCCTTGGAAACTCTACGGAGCTATGAGTCAGAATCAACTCGATGGCAATGGATTTGGGTTTTTTCTGGCCAAGGATGGGGCAATCTGAGTATCAGTAAGTATACCGTTGTTGTTTGCCGCTGGGTTGATTCTGACTCATAGTGACCCTATATGACAGAGTAGAATTGCCCCATAGGGTTTCCTACACTGTAATCTTTATGGGAGCAAATCACCAGGCCTTTTCTCCTGAAGAGTCACTGGGTGGGTTCCAACCACCGACCTTTTGGTTAGCAGCCTAGCTCTTAACCATTAGGCCACCAGGGCACCTATCAATAAGTATGTTGTTGCCATTGTTGTGTGCCGTTGAGTTGATCCGCACTCATAGCGATCCTATAAGGTGGTGAAAACAGTTAACGTGCTCAGCTGCTAACCAAAAGGTTGGAAGTTGAAGTCTACCCAGAGGTGCCTCAGAAGAAAGGCCTGGTGATCTACTTGTGAAAAATCAGAAATTGAAAACTCTATGGAGCACAGTTCTATTCTGACACACATAGAGTCGCCATGAGTCGGAGCTGACTCAATGGCAAGTCGTTATTCCTCAGGGAAGGGAGAATTAAAACATATTTAGGGCAGTGTTTTTCACATTTTATTTTTCTTTTAGCAAGGAACCATCCTCTGTGGAAGTAGATGGGAAGAAGACTGAGCCCCCTTCACTCAGGTTGTCTTTCTTCCTGCTCTGTAGACCTACAGAGCCCTGAAACATAGCTTGAAAACATTATATTAGAGGGTTACTATAAGTCAGGTTCCATTATTAATAAACGTCTTGATTAGAACCATATTTTCATTTCTTTTCTTAACTATATAGATCTGCTTGTTTAAATGCCTGAAGGTCTCCTTTGTCTGCCTGTCAGTGTGATTAAATGTGCCTAAAATTCAAACACGAATAATAACTGAGAAATTCTACTTATAAGCCAATCTTCTGTTTTCCTTCACAGTAAAATCATAAACAGGACACTAATTCTAACTAGTGTATTTTCTAACATTATGTTTTTCATTTGTTCACATGGAGCTAATGTCACAGATAAAACCCATCATGGAGGAGCAAATCGGGAAAAAAATTGGCAATTCTGACATTATACGGCTAACTTTCTACCTTGATGTCTACAACCTTTAGACTGTCTAGTTCAAATCTCATTTCACGCATGGGAAAACGCAGCCCAAGGTGGTTGGTGCCCAGGGACACAGCTCATGCGGCAGGGGCAGGAGGGCTTGCTTATGAATGCCAATAACCTTTAGTAAATGAAGTTTCTGCAACTCGACAATCAGACAGATGACCTACGCCAGTGTTCTCCAACAGAACTTTCTGCAGTGATGGAAATACTCTGTATCTGTGCTGTCATTAGCCACATGTGTTTACTGAGTACTTGAAACTTGGCACTTTGACAAAGGAACTGATTTTTAAGTTTTATTTAATTATAATTTAAATGCAAATACTGTATTGGACAGGTCTAACAGTAATGGTGGGTTTCATGTGGTAACAGTTGAATTAATCACTGCAATAAAAATGAGGACAGATGAGAGTGGCTCCAAGAGAGAAGGCTTACCGTCTCCATCTTCCCCGTAGGCCAGAAAAGGAGGGATGGTGATGATGCGCTTCTCTCCCACACACATTCCCAGCAGCCCTTTATCCATCCCAGGAATCAGCCAGCCAATCCCCACATACGTGTCATAAGTTTTCATGCGATTGTGACTGGAAACCAATGAGAAAGGGAAAAAGTTCCATACCATGATGACGTTTCCAACTCATCCCTCTGTGAGGTATTTATTACCCAAATCTCAGCTAAACGATGAGCCCCTACCCATCCCTGGAGGCAGGCATTTACAGTTGCTCCCAAACAGACATGCTCAAGTTGAGGAAGAATGAAAAGCATGTAATTAAACCACAATGATTCACAAAAACAGGCCTGCTATTCCATCTAGCCAAACACTAGAATGAGAAGAAAGCTCAAAGGGTTCACTGTTCTCCAGCTCAGCACCTCACTCCACTCCACACTTCTCCACAGTTTCATATACATTCATCCTTCCCCTCCTCCTTCCCTGGGGAAACTATAATAATGAACAAAACATGTATGAACCTATGTACAATTAGGATCGTCTACTTAATGATGAGATCTCAAAATACTGTTAATTTAGATTGACGTTGCTCTTAGAGTACTCTAAGATACATTAAAATTTTGACCAAAGTAAGGGAATTTATTACTGATTAAAGTTGCAAGAACCCTCTTCTGGTTTCCCCACGGACATAAAAAATCAGGCAAGACAGAAGGAATTAGTGGGCACCTCACTGATACAACCATGGATGGCGGGACTTACCTCGAATCAAAGAGTGTCCCGTCCAAGAACGTTCCGTTGTAGTGGTACCTTACAAAATCAGACACTTGGGTGGTCCGCGAGCAACTGGGAGGCTTGAAATAAGTGTGAATCTGAACCTGGTCTTCAGAATTCCAAATATCCATCAAGAGTACATCAAAATGAAGCACTGAATCCGGGGGGATCACACCAGCTGGAAATTAAAGAGAGTTCATGCTGAGAAGCTGCTGCCTTTCAGGCCAGACGTATAAATGCCTAGGATGGTGCCACACGGAAAGGAAGCCAAAACGGTTCAAGTGGGTCACTGGTATGGAATTCCAGAAGGGAGCCATGCTCCCTCCCTCTTTCCTCCAAATGGAATTGAAAGAAAAGTGAAAACAAAAATTTCCCCTCAACAAGGGCAACATTCAATACACCTTCTTTCATATCCAGAAGAAATAATCCTAAAACGGAAATTATAGCTGTGTGTGTATTCACTGCTTCTCGTTTTCCCCAGTCTAAACCTTCTAAGATTATCTAGTCTGTCTGACTGAACAGCTTGCAAATGCTCTGGTTGTTTCTGCAGATGTGTTTACAAACACGGAACAAAAACTTACAAACGCCATCACTTCCATAGGCAAGCTTTGGGGGAATCTTCACAAAACGCCTCTCATTTACGCACATCCCGACCAGAGCTTGGTCCATCCCTGCAATCAGCTGTCCTTTTCCCACATATACGTTGAAGGTGGAGTCTCTGTCATAGCTAAAGACCCAAAGACAAGAAGAAAAAAAGAAAAGTGTAAGTAGTCTCTCTCTTGATGAACCAACAACCTGTTGCTGTCAAGTCAACTCTGACTCATGGACACCCCATGTGTGGAACTGGGCTCCACAGGCTTTTCAACAGCTGATTTTTTTGGAAGTAAACCACCAAGCTTTTCTTTCGAGGCACCTCTGGGTGGCCTCCCTTGGTGAAACCAACCTATAAAAACATACCTGTGGACAGAGGGAGATCACTGCACATTAAAAAGCCTGTCGATGAATTGGTGAATGTTTTGCTGTGTATGCTCTCAACAATGACAACAAAATAAATTTTAAAATTTTTTAAATCATTTAAAAAAAAAGCCTGCTGAGGAGTTACTGATACAGGAAATGTCTTGACTGGACAGTACTTGCAGTGTTGGAATTTTTTAATTAACTTAAATATTACCAGAAAATCAAGTTAGTTAAGCACTGGCATAGCTTATCTGTTAGGGACTGAACTGTATCCCCCAAAAATGTGTGTCAACTTGGCTAGGCCATGATTCCCAGTATTGTGCAGCTGTCTTCCATTTTGTGATCTGATAATCCTATGTGTTATAAATCCTAACCTCTATGATGTTAATGAGGCAGGATTAGAGGCAGTTATGTTAATGAGGCATGACACAATCTACAGGATTATGTTGTATCTTCAGTCAATCTCTTTGGATATACAAGAGAAGCAAGCAGAGAGGAGAGGGATCTCATTACCACCAAGCAAGAAGAGCCAGGAGCAGAGCACGTCCTTTGGACCCAGGGTCCCTGCGCTGAGAAGCATCTAGACCAGGGGAAGATTAATGACAAGGACCTTCCCCCAGAGCTGACAGAGAAAGCTCTCCCTTGGAGTTGGCACCCTGAATGTGGATTTCTAGCCTCCTAAACTGTGAGGAAATAAATTTGTTTGTTATAGCCATCTACTTGTGGTATTTCTGTCATAACAGCACTAGATAACTAATACAGAATTTGGTACTGAAAGTGGGGTGCTGCTCTAACAGATACCTAAATTGTGGAAGCAGTTTTGAAACTGTGAATAGGTAGAGGCTGGAAGAGTTTTAAGGTGCCCAACAGTAAAAGTCTAGATTGCCCTGAGGAGACTGTTGGTGGAATTACAGACATCAAAGGCAATTATGGTGAGAGCTCAGAAGGAAATGAGGAGAGCTGTAACACCAGAGAAAGTGCAGATGGTGAGAAGCAGTGGCAGAGAAACACCAGCAGCAGAACTAGGAGATCAGCATGAGATGGTGCAGGAGCCGACCCATGGAACTAGAGAGCTGAGTGCCTTCAGACAGGAAGCTTCCGGGCAGAGTGGGTGCCTCTGGGCACTTGTTGGTGGAGCTAGGCTTGCTGACCCATAGAGTAAGAAAGCTGAGTGCCTTCAGGCCAAGAGGCCAAGGAACCAGGAAGCAAAAGCTGAAGAGACACGTAGCACAGGAAGCAGAGCTGCCTTGGTCTCAAAGAGTGGGACCACAACCTCTGAGGTCTCAAAGGGCGGAACCACAGCCTGATGGGTCTCAAAGGGTGGGGTCACAGCCTCAAAGAGTTGGATCTTAACCAACTTGGTTCCAGAGTGTGGGGCTGTCTTTCACGAGTGCCAGTGGGATGTTGCTGGATATGCTGCCCAAAACTGAGGGGGTGGGGCTGCCATGCCCAAGGGGCAGAAGAATGGGGTCTGCTGTGGCCAAGGGGGTAGGGCTACCACTCAGAATAGGAGAATGGGGCCCGCCCAAATCTGAGGCAGCAGAGTTGCTGTCCCAGTGGACCTGGAAGGTGGCGCTGAAGCCCAGGGCCAAGGGGCCTCCACCCAGAATCTGGAGAGTGTGGCCAACACCCAGTGTGTGGAGGGCAGGGCTATTGCCTAAATGGTCTCAGAGAATAGAGGATTATTTTCAAGCCTTGAGAGCTAATATAATGTGTTCTGCTGACTTGCTTGGTGACTGTTATCCCTTCTTTCCCTCCAATTTCTTCCATTTGTAATGGAAATGTCTAGCTTCTGCCTGTTCCACCACTGTACCTTGGAAGCAGATAACTTGTATGCTAGATTTCACAGATGAAGAGGAATTTTGCTCCAGGATGTAATTTGCACTTGGAGTTGACTTAATACTTTTGGAATGATATAATGGGATGAACGTGTTTTACATGTGGCGAGAACATGAATTTTGTGGGGGGAGGGGAGGGTGGAATGTTATGGATTGAATTGTGTCCCCCCAAAATGTGTGTCAACTTAGCTAGGCCATGATTCTCAGTATTGTGTGACTGTCCTCCATTTTGTGATCTGATAATCATATGTGCTGTAAATCCTAACCTCTATGAATGTTAATGAGCCAGGATTAGAGGCAGTTATGTTAATCAGACAAGACACAACCTGCTTGTATCTTAAGTAAATCTTTTTTAAGTTATAAAAGAGAGAATTGAGCAGGGAGGAGAGGGACCTTGTTACCACCAAGAAAGAAGAGCCAGGAACAGATCGTGTCCTTTGGACCCGGGGTCCCTGCACTGAGAAGCATCTAGACCAGGGGAAGATTGATGACAAGGACCTTCCCCAGAGCTGACAGAGAGAGAAAGCCTTCTCCTGGAGCTGGTGCCCTAAATTCAGATTTCTAGCCTCCTAAACTGTGAGAGAATAAATTTTTGTTTGTTAAACCATCCATTTGTGGTATTTCTGTTATAGCGACACTAGATAACTAAGGCATCACCCTAGTAAAAAAGATGTTATGCTTGTTTTGCAAAACAGCTACCAATTCTTCCATTAAAAAAAACAAAAAGTCTCCACTGTCGGTGCCGCCGCGGCCCACGTTCCGGACTGCCGCGGCCTCGATG